TGCTATTGCCTGGTGCAGGTAAAGAAAGTTTTATTGAGCCATAAAAAGTTTATGCCTAATCTAACATGTGGGAACAGGCAGTGGAAGCCAGGGTGAGAGTGTCAGGCTATCTCATAGCTGAACCAGCAGACACGTGGTACAAAGAAGCTTCACCCAGGTCAGCGAAGACCAAAGTATGGTTGTGAGGCAGTGGCAGACACAGGTGTACAGAGAAGTTGAGAGACAGATAGAAACTATGAAAGCCAGTTGAGGGGTGTACAGACAAGTTGAGAGACAGATAGAAACTATGAAAGCCAGTTGAGGGGTGTACAGACAAGTTGAGAGACAGATAGAAACTATGAAAGCCAGTTGAGGGGTGTACAGACAAGTTGAGAGACAGATACACTTGTCTTTACACTTATCATATCATTTACACAAAGAATGAAAGATATCTATTTCCAGTCTTGGTCGGAATCACTACTTCTAGAACATTAATTTCACTATTAACAGATACTACCACATCAATATTACAGAATCTGGCAATGTACATCTATTTCGCTATGAGATTAAGAAAAAGTATTGTTGCAGAAAAGAATTTATAAATGACTTCTATCTACTCATGTAAACTCTAAATGTACTACAGGCCTGTGGCCTTTTAAGTACTGAAATAAAGATTGATTGAAAGCCAGTTGAGGGGTGTGCAGACAAGTTGAGAGACAGATAGAAACTATGAAAGCCAGTTGAGGGGTGTACAGACAAGTTGAGAGACAGATAGAAACTATGAAAGCCAGTTGAGGGGTGTGCAGACAAGTTGAGAGACAGAAACTATGAAAGCCAGTTGAGGGGTGTGCAGACAAGTTGAGAGACAGATAGAAACTATGAAAGCCAGTTGATATCTTTAATTTCTTTTCCAGTAAAATTAGATAGTTGACAAGTGTTTGTATATATACACCTGGAACTTAATTAAGCGACCCCCCTATTTTCTGGATGATGAGAAACTAAACTTGCTGTAACTTTCTCACTATTGCAAAGATAGTGGAACCTTAGCTATTGTGAAACATACGATCTATTGGCAAATGAAAAACAAGACAATGATTCCAATTCGTGTTGTTTTAATAGCGTAACTAATGTGATTTGGTCACTATTGATTTTTGATGAAAATAGTCACTGAACAAGTATGGTCGTAGCATTGTCAATGGCTGACTATTACAAGAAATGATGCACAAGGAATGTCACATGCTAACATCTGATGCGTCTGGCATCAGGATCGGGTGTATCCCCCAAGTGCTTGAATGACAGCTTGAATCCTTCTCCTCATGCTACTGGTAAACCTTCTGATACGATCAAGTGGCAATTGCCGCCATTCTTCATGCAAAGCAGCTTCCGGCTGTGCAAGATTCTGGAGAGGGGGTTCTCTCAACCTCACATGGCGTCCAAGAAAGTCCCAGATGTGCTCCAAAGGATTCAAATCGAGGCTCATTGCTGGCCAAGGTAATGCCATGATAGCCTCATTCTGGAGATGTGCGGTCACAGCACGTGAACGATGCGGCCTGGCGTTGTCGTCCATGAATATCGGGTGAGTAACCAACGGATGGTTGTCGAAGTGAGGCACGACAACTGGATGGAGAATATCCCGGATGTACTGCTGACCATTAAGATGTTTCGGACAGTCACCATTTGAAGTTTACAGTAGTGTGAAAGACAAACCCAGATCATAACCGATCCTCCACCATGAGGAACAGTAGGGTGGATATTCCTGGGCACGTAAGCAGTGTTTTTATGCCCCCACACTCCCATTCGACCATCTGTAACATGGAGAAGGAACCTGCTCTCATCTGACCAGTGGACCCTCCTCCATGTCCTCAGGTTCCACTGCCGACGGGCCATACACCACTCCAGACGTCGTCTCTTAAGGAGATCAGACAGAGCGGGACGTTTGATGACTCTTCTGAACCTCATACCAAGTGCCCTAAGGCGATTTCTGACGGTTCTGGTGGATAATTGTCTGTAGGGTAACCACAGGCGCTTCAAACCCGAACTTGTGGCAAAGGGTTCTCGCCTTACCAGACGTGCCAGGCTGCGATCATCACGGGCCGTTGTCTTCCTGGGTTGTCCAGGCCTTGAACGATCTCTCACATCTCCTGTCATCTGATGTTTCGGACAAGTCGGCTGATGACCGAGTGACTGAAGCCCAGTTGTCGTCCAATAGCTTTGAAGGACATGCCTGTTGCATGTATGCCTACAATTTGCCACCTGAGTGCTTCAGAAAGTCATCTCCTCGCCATTTCAGTATTTATTAATGGAGACAGTTACAAATGTGTCTGCTTTTATACCCATAAATTGCATATCAGAGAAACTGAATTTTGGGAAAAGTGTGGGTTGTATGCTTCACGTGCACAAGGGATGCGTTCTGACGAGTGCAAAGGAACTGAAACACCTTTTTAGACTACTAGAGACCTGTTGTAATACAGAGATATCATTCATGTTTAACGATGGTTAACAGTTGCTCTACTATCATGAAATACTAGTATATCAGGGGGTGCTTAATTAAGTTCCAGGTGTATAGATGTTTCCAACATTTTGTCAAGAAAATGTTTTTTCACTCCCGACTAATGGCCTGGAGACCAGCAGGGTTCTAGTGTATAGTACTGGCAGAACCTGAGCTACTTTTGGGCTCACATGCTGTTTTCAACAACCTGAGGGTAATGCTTGTAATCCAAAGCAACCGTTGTTGACCAACTAACAGAGGTGACAAAATGGAGTGATCAGGCTCAGTGACCTGTTTGACTGCACGTCATCCTGACAGCGTGGACCGCAGCTCATGTCACTCACAGATTTGTCTTAAGCAGCAAAGACACAAGACGCTTAACTTGCTCCATGGACACTGTATGTTGACTACATCCGGTGGTCTATTGAAATAGTCCAATAAACTTTGTGAATGGTTTGACAAACAAAATTGAAGTTCTTGTAACGCCAAATTAGGGAGCAGAGACATCTGGCAGTTCACTCACGAAAAGGAAAAGTAACCACTAAACCCTGAGAAAAGAGACAAAACAGTGAGTGAGTTTAGTTTTATGCTGCTTTTAGCAATATTCCAGCAATATCACGATGAAATGATACTGACACCAGAAATGGGTTTCACAGAATGTACCAAAGTGGGGAATTGAACAATGGTCTTTGGTGTGACAAGCGAACGCTTTAACCACTAGGCTACCCCAGCACCCCTTTTTGGATACAGCATTATAAGTCTATTTTGCATATTACATGGGATTGGTTATGCTGCATATATACAAGACTGTCAAGATGAAATGGTTATAGCTTGGCTCGGGTTTTGTGTGTATCTGTAGTGCCCTGTGCCTGACACTTGTGAAGGATGTTGATCCTGTAGTTGACTCTTTGATGTAGCTGCATTGACAATGGGAAACAGATGTCGGCAGAGGAGATCTTCACTTCTCTTCTGAGTTTTCCCGGCATGTCTCATATTGCTCAAGAACATGCTGAGCTCCTTGACTAAGTGAGTGAGGGAGTAAAAACTAAACTTAATACCTTGAGTTTAGTTTTACGCCGCACTCAGCAATATTCCAGCTATATGGCGGCGGTCTGTAAATAATTGAGTCTGGACCAAACAATCCAGTGATCAACAGCATGAGCATCGACCTGCGCAATTGGGAACCGATGACATGTGTCAACCAAGTCAGCGAGCCTGACCACCTGATCCCGTTAGTCGCCTCTTACGACAAGCATGGGTTACTGAAGATCAATATTCTAACCCGGACCTTCATGGGTGCTCAATCAGCAATTTTGCATTTATTCACTTTAAGAGTACCTGCATTATTATCGTTCGACCCCACCCCTCGAGCCCCCTGTTGTTACAAGCTACTAATTAGTACTTCTAGCCCCCTCGCTTGGCTGTTCTGTTAGCCGTACTCACTCCCCTGTAACTGGATTTACTGCTACTATTACTTAACTTAGGTCGGGTGTTGGTTGACTGGTACTTGGTGTAGATAATAGAGAATCACGGCTCAGTGATCATTATTGATCAGTAGATGATCACTGTTGCTAATAATTGACAAAACAAATATGAAGATTCTATTTATTTACATTCACAAATATATTAATTCAGATCTTGACACATTGTCTTAATGCAGAGTCAGATCAGTTGTTTTTATGCAACATTCATATTGTCCGTCATATGTCCAATGGCACACAGGTATGAGTCAAGATTTATCCAGTTACAGGGGAGTGAGTACAGCTAACAGAACAGCCAGGCGAGGAGCTAGAGGTACTAATTAGTGGCTTGTAACAAATGGGGGACGGGGGCTAGAGAAATGATGCCATCAGTTCAGTTACATGTTAGTGATGAACACATACGCTTACTTGTCATGTAAGTGATGAATACTTGCAGGCATATTTGTCAACTAATAGTTCATGTTTTGATTCCTAATAGTGATGTATATAGGACCTATTACATGCTTATTTATTTGTTCTTACTGTGAAATACTTTCTACCGGCAACAAATATGATGGAAGTTTCATTATTACTACTATTTGTTTTGAGTACTGATGATGTACATAATAACTATACAGAACAGATGCAGCACACGATGTCTGTCTGGACTGCCAATATGGACATGTTTGTCGCAAGAATCTGAATTGGGTTATGTTTTTATGTCAAGACATTATTAGGTCATAGATGAAACACAACTGACAGGAAACTCATTCATCAAAGCTTGTGTAGAGAATTTACTTTGTAATAATAATTTAGAATAAACTCTCGTGCATGTTGGTGAGACTTTTTAGTCAACATTGTCAGAGTTGTGGGCAGTTCTGGATGGATGACCTAAAACTTCTCCCCCTCAAAACGTCATTTTGTTTGTGAGTATAAGCAACATACAGACAGCAGTACTCCAGCTGCCTGTGAACAGCTGGACCAACAGGCAGATGTGTTCAATGTACCAAACAGTGGGAAGCCATGCGACCATCCAAGTCTCAATGTTCTGGGTAAAGACGAAACAACTAATCTTTTCAAGCAAAATGAACTTTTATTATGATTTGATTAACTTATGATATCAACCATTGAAACCATGGATTTAAAACAGAAGAGCGTGAAACTAAATTGGAGTACATACTACTGTGCTGAAATCTCTAGAAATCAAGCCTCAATTATATATACTATCCGGGTGCCTTAAATCAAATATACAGAACATATAGCACCTAAATATTGCAATATTGGCATATGCCAAGGGCAAATACAAACAACATGAAAATAAAACAAGCTAAAATTGTTCAGTTATAAATACAACATGGCCCTATATGCATTGGACCACTGTGGTAGGAATGTTATGAAAAGGTACAAAGGAATGGCATCTTATAGCAAAAATAACCAGCAAATCATTTGATCACTATTTCAATCAATTACTTTCTACAAAGTAAACTGCAAATGTGTTGAGAAGTTAAAAAAAAACAAATGAAAAAAAAAGTCATCAGAGGTGATGGAATGTACAGATAGCACAGATAGCGTGAAGTGTTATTTCCCAAATCTTTGAGTCATGTACAATATTTGTGGTTTAACAATGTCATGAAAATGAGTCAATAGGTTCCAATGTCACACCCCTCAAACATTTACAGGAAGGTAAAAGGTTTATTAAAAAAAGAAGAATATATCTCACTGCTGGACGTCATTGTTTAGCTAACAACTTTTTTAAGACGTATTGTGCTTTTTTTTTCTCTCAGGAAAGGCAAACAGTTGAGTAGGCAAACCTGCAAAGAGTTGAATGACTTACAAAATGAACATGTGGAAATGGCTGTCTTCCTTCACAACAAGGATCACAAATAAACAGAACTATTTTGGCAGGCATATTGTGTGAAAGATAACGTATATATGCTATCAAACAATTGATCAATGTATCTCAAAATATACTGGGTATCATCCCAATTTTACAATAAGGACACTTCCTGAACTTGTAAACATGTAAATTTCAACCAGTTGCTCTCCCAGGATTTATTCAACACAGGCTTCGTGCACTTTTGTAACATGTATATAAAACAGACTGGGTCCTTGGTATCAGCCTGGAATGGAATTTGCCTTGTGAAAATGTTGAGAGCCAAACAGATCAGGCATTTATCATGAATAGTGGCAACAACTGTCAGAATTGAACAAATCATACTCTATTTCAGCTCTTTGGAATGTACATATCATTGTAGGAAGGCACGTGCTATTAACAAAATTTAGTACAAAATATATACTCTTTGTTGCAATCTGGCCACTTTTGCATAAACATTCATTAACAAAAATACATGTTGTTTCTGGCTTTGTTCATTTGAAGGCAACAAGTTAAATGGATTAGAGTACAACATAAATAAGAACATGTAGGCCACATTGGTTATGTTCTGCATAGGTGCGTACATAGGCATACTGTCGACAATGGAAGCAGCCACTTTTGGCAACAACAGAACTTCACAGATAGCTTCTTTCTCTGGCATTAAGTAACAAAAGAAAGAATTTATCTCAAACTTACATGGACATTTCATTGCTTGCATTTTCCAAATTAATTTTTGCACTATCAAGTGAATTTCATCAAGTTTCAAAATTCAGCTCAATATCATAGTTACTGAATTTCATTCAACACATTCAGAATTAATTTTATCGCATGTTTTTTTCTTACTAGTCTCAAACTGTTTTGTGACCTCAATTGTAATATCTATTTATACTGAAATCTGACTTCCAACTGTAATCACATTTAATTTCTAGTTCCTGAAACTTGGAAATGATGCTGTACAGTGTTAGGTTTGTGTATAAAAATGCATTATTGCTCAAGTCAAAATTAATTACTGATACAATGTACTTAGCTAGTTGTGCGTACAATAGTATCCATGAGGAAGAGGTGCAATTTTCAATATTGGAATGTACATGAGATTGGAGAAAACATCCGAGGTACAGGATATGATTTCTAGGAGAAGAACAGACAACAGCATTACAACACTGAAAACTAACGGATCTAAGAAATCTACCTGATAAAATAAGTGGATAAACTAAGAAACGTTTGATCAAAAGTTTCACTAGATGATTTGTTCAACAGTAAATTTGTTATGCATAACAGGATTTCCATCTCCATAAATATACAAAATGATTTCCAGTGTACTAATTGCACATGAGTGGCAGTTTTGTCAGGAATTTGGAGGAATTGATGACACATCAATGGTACTAATCTGATACACATTACTTCGTACAATCATCACAGTAAATCCACCAGCACCGATCTGTAGACTACCAAAATATCTTATCAAAATAATGTCCCTTTATGTTTTATAGTATTTACAAACATTGAATGGAAACTCTCCATCAAATGCATATATATTACCCACTGAAATGACCGGGCAATCCCGTCAGCAGTACAAAGGTGCATAGTCAGCGAAATTTGTCCCAAGTCAAACCCTCAAATATATAAACTGCAAGGCAACTGTGAAAAAATAATATTTCTGCCAGACAATAAAATATTTCTGACATCAGAATTGTTCATCCCATTTCAATGTTGTATAATCTGTGTTCGTTGTACTGCTAAAAATACTTTTCTGCATTTGCTTGCAATGGAAGAATAGTGTTCTGCATGATTATAATCTATTTACAAACAAGTATCCACAGTATAATGCATTCTTCCTGGGAATGAATAAACAACCAGTATATGAAGCATTGATTTGTCCTCTCCACTCAGTTTGGCTCGGTTGAACATACCAGTAAAAGCTGACATGTAACTATCATAAAAAATACCATACTATCACCATCTTTGAAACCTTTGCTAATGAGGGATATCAAATCCTAAACCAGCACATGGTCAGAGTTTACTGGTAAGCATGTAAAATAGTATTATGGCAGATGTTGTGTTCATATCTTGATACATGTCACCATTGTTCATGAAGGTCACACCACTGTTCAAGAAGGTCACCACCCATCTATACTGTCATTCACAGCAATATGTCTTTTCACCATGGAAAAGAATCCCGACACACATTCTGATGGTCATGTATGTTCTTCCACCGAGGAAATGTAGTTCCACATGGCAGTGATTGTTTCCACAGTTGCTGAAAACAATCCCTTTATATTTGTCTCTGCCTTCACAACTAGAAGACCAGCAAGTCTTTCTACAGCACTTTCAATTACAACTACGGAATGTCAACTTCACTGGCACTTGCATCGGTGTCACCTCTCACTCTTAATTGCACTTATAGCTCAAGGTCAGTCACTGTCTTTGCATAATATTCACATAAAACATTCATTCATCGCTACTCATAAATTCAGTCTATCAACATCAGCATCCTTTGATTCACATATCTTGAATGATTGACTCACAGCACTGGATACACTGAATAAATGTCACCTCAGCAAGTTGCACTTCTGGTATGAAATTTAAATACGCTAAAGATTCATAAAAGAATAAAGTCAGTAGCTTGGTAAAAGATTTTTGGAAACTAATCCTTGTCTACTCATGCTCTTTGTCTATTGGAAAAGGTTCAGTATTGATGACCAATCAGATGCTGGCGTTCATGCTGCATCATTAGACTCTTGTTCTCGAACTCACGTTCACAATACTGACACACATACACCTTGGTCCTGGAACTGGTGGATGTCATGTTGGCCCTGGCACTACCGCCTCTTCCTCGGAGTCCTTCACAGCCTTCTGCTCTTCCTCCACAGTGGAGTCTGGGGTGCTGGTCTCTGTGTTGGACTTCGCCACTTGGTTCAATGCTGGTGCTTCAGTCAGGCTGTTATTGTTCTTCTCCAGTTGATATTTAGTGATGATAGACTTAATCACCTCCTTATCAACTGCTGTACCTGGGAAGTGGACCTCGATGTGGTCCTGGAGTTCTTCTTCAACTGAGCAGCTGAAGTCACAATAGCTACAAGGGAGGCAGTTAGGTGTGTTGTGCTGGTTGTCATGGCGATCCAGTTCCTCCTTAGAGGTAGTGCTGAATGGGCACCTGTCACACTTCAGCTCCATTTCTTCACTGTCCTCGCTGAGGTTGGTGTCATCTGGTGAACTGAAGTACAGCTGGGGATTCACAACATCAGGACTTCCTGGCTCATAGGAGTTTCCATGGTCACCATTTGTAGCAGGAGACTTCAAGCTTTTCAATCTTTCTTCATGAACCTTTGCATGTTGCTGCAAATGGCCAATAGTTTCAACACTGAAGTCACAGAACTGGCAGTTGAACTTGTTCTCAGATCCATGCATGCTTAGATGAGATTCTAAAATCTCAGTGCTTGGACTTAAGTAAGGACACTTGGGACATTTCATCTGCCCCTGCTGCTGTTCCTCTGATGCCTGCTGTTTCTTTGTGTCCTGATGAAGACGCAGATGCTGGTTCAGGAGATTCCATCGATCAACGCTGTAGGTACATTCAGGACACATGTAGCGAGCTCGCATTCGATGCAGCATCTTATGGTAGGCAAAGCTGTTTTTGTTGCTGGTACTGAATGGACAACTTTTACAGCTGTACAAATTCTTCTTTTCAACAGTCTCTTTATTTTTATTATCATTTTCAACATGTTTATTGAAACCCATGATCTGAGCCTCAAACTTTCCTGGGGCTTCAAGAGCATAGTCCCTGTTCAGGATGTTGATTTCATCAGGACTTGGGTTGAACCCTGGTTGCTTTGTGTGCACTCTCCTATGCTGATACAGTAGGTTTAGTCTGTCAATGCTCCAATCACAGTAGTCACAGATATACTTTTTCTTTAAGCCATGCATCTGGAAGTGAACATTGTAGCTCTTGAGTGCATTACTCTTAAAAGGGCAGTTGGGACAGGAGTACCTCATAGGCTCACTCTCACTCTCCTCCACTGGTTCAGGCTCAACACTTTCATTGTTCTCGAGGGTAGAAGATACTTTCTCTACATTTTTCTCAGATTCCAGTCGGAGGACATCCAGATTTAGAAGAGCAGATGGTGGTGGAGCAGGATCAAAGTCTGGTTCATCAGCGTGAAGTCGACGATGCTGGGTCAGCAAGTTAAGTCTGTCCAGGCTGTATGAGCAGAACTCACACTTGTACCTATGTGCAGCACCATGAAGCAGGCAGTGTTTACGGAACTCTGCCCCAGAGTTGCTGCTGAAGGGGCAGTCTTTACATCTGTAACTCCGGTGCTGTGACAGAATGGACAAAGCATTTTCACTCTCTTCACCAGTGTGTTCGGCATCTGCCTTTTCTTCCATATCTGTGTCAGCCAGATCTGGTTCATCTTCATCCCCGTCAGGCTCGGCGTCCATGATGTCTTCTTCCATCTCAATGTCTTCCTCTTCCTCCTCTCCTGCTCCATCAGGTTGAGCTTCAGCTTCTGCCTCAATCTCTTCTTGCAGCTTATCAAATTCTTTGTTGCTCTTATCTAGAGGATCTAAGACTACGTCTTGGTAGCTCTTCTCAGCAGAGTTCTCATTATTGCTGTTTTCAGTTTTATGGAATTTGATATGCTGCTGGAGCAGGTATGCTCGACTTGCACTGTAGTTGCAAAGAGGACACTTGTAGCGACTCTTGATAATGTGTTGTTTACGATGTTTGATAATGTTGTTCTTACAGAAGGTGTTGTATGGACATCTAGAGCACCTATAGCGAACACGGCCACTTAAACGAGACTTCTGTAGAACTTGCCTGGCCTGCATGGTCAGAAGCTTTGTGGCCAGGCCAGCAGCTTTGTTTGGACTGGACTTTTTGGCCAAAGGAGCTTCATCGTTCACTCTCTTCAGGTTCAGCATGCTTGTGAAGTGTTTCTTTTCAGGTGTCAGACTGCCGTCTTTTTCATTGTTCTTCCCTTCATGTACAACAGCATGGCGGGTCAGGATACCCAGATCATCCACACTGTAGTCACAGTGCTCACACTTGTACTGCCCATTGTAAGAGTGCATCAACACATGGGCACGGTAGATGTCATACAACTTCGCCTTAAACGGACACTTCGGGCAGCTCATCAGCATATTCTCCTCCATATTGGCTTCCATTTCTGCATCCATTTCTCCCTCCAACTCAGCATTCTCTCTCTCATCGGAGTCATTGTCTGCAGAACCCACTTCAATATTCTTGGTGACTTCAATGAATGCTGGTTCCTTGGGGTGAACTTTGTCCATGTGTTGGTAGATCAGTTTCAGATTGTCACTGCAGTAGTCACAGTATTTACATTGGTACTTTCTGTTTGAGCCATGTTGACGGACATGGTTCGCAGCATTGGCGATATTGCTATTAACGTATGAGCACTTGGGGCACTTGTAGCTCTTCTTGCCATCCATACTACAGATCTGGATGGGGACTCCTCTCCAGGTCATCTGTTCCTTGAGGATCAGGACAGGTTTCTTGTTCTTCTGGTAGTTATTTGCAAAGTTAAGTTCAGCTCTGATTTTCTCCATGGTGTGTGGATCATCCTCTACTATGATGGGATAGGTAGGGGCAGGGCCTGCCGGAAGCTGCATGTCACTTTCGGAGCCCTTCCACTTGTCGGAATGAGATCCCTTCATGTGTTGATAAAGGAGGTTAAGGCGGTCAATGCTGTAATCACAGAACCAACAGGTATGCTTGCAGTTACTGCCATGGCGTTCAATATGACGAAGATACGTGACAGCATTTGGTGCAGTAAAGGGACACTTGGTGCACTGGAAAGATCTGGCTTTCTTCTGAGGGCTGGTGCTTTTCTTAGCTCTCATCAGTGTACTAGTAATGTTTTCAGCAGTCATGCCATGTGATTTGACATGTGTGTTAAGAACGCTGCTCTGTTTGCTGTCGTTTGGAAGGATGTGTCTTAAAGTATCAAGAAACTGACGCTTATTCTCAGATACTACCGACTGTTTAGGCTGGTGATACTGAGGACTTGATACCAAATTCAGAGGCTTTGGTCGATTGGATTGTTGCTGCTGCTGCTGCTGCTGCTGCTGCAGCTGTCTCGGCTGTGGTCTCTGTAGATTTGGATTTGGTGCATGATGATTTGATGAAGAATCTGGATATGACCGAGCTGCTTCAGCCAATTCCTGTTTGCGGAGTTCTAGAGGATGTACATTCTTGGCATGCTGATACAGTGTGGTGACATGGGCAAACATGGCTTCACACCACTCACATGTGAAGCGTTTACGTGCAACTGTTGGGGCTGGCTTGATATTCTTCCAGGTGGAATGTTCATATCCTTGGCCTGATACATGGTTGGATCTGGAGGTTTGCTGTTGAGGAATGTTTCTGGAATGTATCGATAACATAGATCCTGAACTTTGTTCTTTATTACCACTGACAAGTGATAAATGTGAAGAAGACTGGGGGTAAACTGATTTGGAAGACATCACTTGTGAACTATTTGCCATAGATCGTGGAATGTGTAGTTGAGGTGGCCCAACTGAATGGAAGTCTTTCTGAGCAATTGCATTAGCCCTTTGCTGGTTGGGATGGAACATCTTCAGAGGAGGTGGAGACGGTACATCAATGGCATCTGTTGGAGTTGATCTAGCCACAGGTAACTTTGTGGGTTCTGGAAGATGATCATCCTCTTCTTCCGACTGGTCGTCTTCCATAAAAAAATGTCTCCCACTCGTCTGGGTTGAACTCTGAATGAGTACTGATATGGTCAAGCAGCGATTCCTTATCATTCACGGTCATGTCACAATAGAAACATTTATAGTTCAGTTCTTTTTCATGTTCAGCTTCATGAACTTCCATGGTTTCTCTTTTGGAGCATACAAAGTCACATTTGGAGCACTGAAGCCTCTTCATAGCCTTTCTCGGGTGCTTAGGCGGGCAGCGTCAATTTCTTCATGTCTCTGAGCATCAGATGGACTTGGAGAGGCTTGAGCAGAAGAGGCTGCATTTTGATTGGAGTGTGTGACTCTGTGTTGGAGGAAATTTGAGAGATCATTCACTTGGAAATCACACTGCTTACACTTGAACTTGGCAGGAGATGATGAAGATGATGATGGCGTCCTATGGATTTTCATGTGAGTTTCCAAGATATGATGTTTAGTAGTAGCATATGGGCATTTAGTGCAGGTGAACACTTGTCTTTCTGGACGATCAGGCTCGTCACTATCTGTATGGCCTGAATCATCTCCATTAAGCCCTGGAGATCTTGACACTTGGCTGGAAAAGTGGTTGTAGGTTCTCATGTGCTTCTTGAGATCACACTTCCATCGTGAGCTGTAGCCGCAGGTCCCACAGGTGAAGGGTTTGTTCTCTGAATGAAGCACAGAGTGGCGTTTAAGTTCAGCTGGGCTGTGACCTACAAAAGGACATTCTAGACAGTGATACAGACCCTGGTTGATGAGGCTTCTGAATACAGGCTGCTTGGATGAATGAGAGTTATTGCCTTGTTTGACTTGCTGACTAGATCCTGTATTGACTGGCTTCGGCTGGATTGGAGTGTTCCCTTGATTTGCAGATATCAGAGGTGGAGCTCCTTGTGACTGGCCGGCCATGATCGGTACAATGACAGCTCCCTGCCCTCCTGTATGATCAGTGTTGTTGGAGCTGACGAGGTAAGCAACAGGTTGGGGCGTCTGCTGTTGGAGTTTGCCTTCAGGTAGGACTGTGACATTGGGAGGAGCTATACGTTTACTGCCAATGCTTCTAGAAGTGTCGATGACATCTTTAATTGTTCCACCACCACATCGCTTAAGGTGCTTGACTACATCCCACTTCCACTTGCTCCTGTAATTACATCGAGGACAGTGATATGGCTTCTCGTCAGAGTGATTCTTCATGTGCTGGGTGATCTCCGATGGCCACCTTGCTCTATACTCACACTTGGGACACTTGTATGGCAACAGGATATCAGCACATGATGAATTAATGTTGTTGGAATTCATGTCAGTTTGCAGGACCTTTTGCGAATCTATGTTATTCAATCTTTGCCGCACTGTTGCAGCAATGGCCTTCTGTGTTTCTTCTGCTACTGGTCGTTTAATCATATTGTCAGCATCTTGCTTATACAACATGTAGTCCATCTCGTCATCGTACAGGGACTGCACATTAGTAATCTTGATGGAACTTGTGCTGTGTTCATCGTTAGAGTTGTCTGGATCACCATAAGAGTCTAACTTGTTAGGCAATGACGAGGGTCTTTCAGCATACAGTGATGGAGCTTCCAGTATATTTTTACCTATGCCCAAGTCTCTGCCATCATCAAATACAGCAATATGGTCATCATCTCTCGGTTTGGGAATTAACTCTGGCATATCAGAGTCGGACATCCGCCTGCGTTTGGACATTGGTTCACCATCCCTGTGCATAAAGGCCAGATCATCCAAATCATCAGCAGTGGAAGAGTACAGGAGGCTGTCATCAGCAGAGATGTGGTTCAGGTCATTGTTGTTAGATTTGCTGGCTCCTCCTCCCAAAGTTTCACGTCTCTTGTAAGGATTTGGTAGGGTGTGGTGACTCTTCTCAAAGTGTTTGACAAGGTCCCATTTCCATTTGTATGTTGATCCACAGACCATGCACATGAACGGACGCTCTTCTGAATGTGACACAGCATGCTTTTGGAGCTCTGCGGGCCACTTGGCTACAAAGTCACACATGTTACACTTCAACTGCTTGGAATCAGTGGAGGAAAGATCCTGGGATGAGAGGTGAGTGATGGCATCCAGTGGCATCTTAAGCAAGTGGTAAGTCTGCTGCAAGCCATGGGGGATTTTCTGAATGGCATCCTTGTGTTCTTGGATTTTCTCTGCATGCTCATCAAGGAAATGTTTGTTCAGATCTTCAACTCCATTGAAATGTTCTTGGCAGACGGCACATTTGAAAGCCCGCCTGTTGAGGTGCAAAGTCATGTGTGAGCTGTAGTCGACCAATGTTTTAGCTACAAAGGAACATTTGGTACACTGTAGAATGGCATTGTTATTCTTGCCTGATTCATCATTAAGGGAAGCCTTTGGATCTTCGTCGCCCATCCATAAAGGTTCCATCTTGACTTTGAAGAAGCTGGGATCAAGAGTAGGATTATCATCCTTTCTGACGGAAAAGTCCAAAGGTTGTTCTTGTGACCCTGAATTAGACTGTGGTGACCTCGGGGTCCTCTTGGAACTCAAAACCTCTTCCTTTTGTCTCTGAATATGAGCAGACACGTAATCTTGTATCGAGGTAGCAGCTTGTGGTGTGTAAGCTGAGGGGGTGGTGTTGTTCACAAAAGGACCAATGAATTTGGGGAAGACGACAGGATGTGACGAAGTGGTTTCAGTATAATCAGATGTTATTGGCGAGGGACCATTCATCAATGAGCCCATGCTGACTGGTGTTTCTGCTCGAACCAGGCTTGGTGACTGGGACACGGAGGGTGACTTGGCAGTTGATGGTTGTTGCATGCTTGCTAGAACGCTGTTGCTGTAGATGCGTCTCTTGCCATACATGGTGTGATTACCTGAATTTACAAGATACATCAAACCAGGTGGTTTCTTGCTCCCGTCAGGCACCTCTCCTCCATGCTTTTCTTTCCAGTGTTTGTTGAGGGACTTGCGCCACTTGTACACATTCCCACAGCTGGAGCAGGCATACTTTATACCAGTGTCATCCACAACCTCGAAGTATTTAGCTGGGTCCACCTCTTGGCGAGTTTTTTTCTTTTTCTCCGGGATAAAAGGGACTTCAATGACAGGCTGTGGAATGACAGTGACAATAGAGTCTTCTTCTTCATCATCTATTTCATCGTCATCTTCCTCCCCAATGGTTTCTTCTTCCTGACTATGATTCAGGATAGAGTTATTTGGAGTTTCTTCAAAAGTGCTGTTCTGCAGTAGCATACCCTCCTGCCCTGAGAAGTGAAGTTTGCGGTGTCGGGGCAGCTTTTGCTTGTACTTGGTTGCGTACTCACAAATGTCACATTCATATATGGTGAAGTCATACTTGTGCTCATCTTTCTGGTGGTGCAGGTATGTTTTGGCACTAGTGGAGGTGAACTCACACACGTTGCATACATACGTCCTGTTTTGAATATTTCCACATCGGGTTGGTGTTACTGAAGAAGGGTCTTGTCCATCAGTTTGATCATTTTCTTCTGCAATGATCAGCCGATCATCTTCATGTTCTGGTTCATCGTACATCTCCATAGCATATTGAACCTCTTCTCCGTTAACCTTTTCAGAGGCCATGCTCTCCATTGAGATCTCAGATTCACTTCTGGAAGTTCTTTTCTTTATGGCTGCCACTTTGAGTGCAGCCTTCTTCGACGGATGACTATCGTCCCCTTCACCGTGAGCTTTTGTCTGGTGTTGGAGGAACTCGATAGAGTCTGTACAGGTGAACTTGCACTGCTTGCAGATTCTCAATCTCCCTCGGCCTTTTGGTGCTGCAGCAGATATTTCTACATCATCTGTGCTGGCATCTGCTCCTGCATCATGACTGTCCTCCATCTTGGACTAGGCTTCCCCCTCTGATCTGGGCTTCTGGCGGCACCCTGAAAGCAAACAACAGAAATTAGTTTGGTTACACTTTACATATTTACGAAAGAAAACTAAAAGTAATACCCTACAATAATCACATGTATAGTTACTTGTCTACCAAAGTTACCAGTTACTACCTTATGGGATTTGAATAACCTTTCAGGCAACGATCAGTCATTTCTGATATCAAACAAAACTTCTGCAGATAAATGTTATATTTTTCTAAAACTAATTAGTATATTCAATTTCACAAGAAAGTTATTTTATTTTGATTTAGCGAGTCTTCAGTCACCTCTATCAAAACATCAACTTGTGTCAGGGGCACAAAACAGGAAGGGAGGTAACTCTTGCAGTCTTAGTATCGATCAAACAAGAAAGCAGTAAGCCTTGCTTAATCTGACTTCGGGCTGAGAAGCATGTTTGCTCAAGGCCAAGCACATCAAGTGGTACCACGTGAACTTATCTCCACTTGGCAGAGAAATAATACATGCCACAGTCCAAGTCTGACCAGGGCCATCTTGAAGTTCGGGAACTGATACAGAGTGGACCTTGTTCCGGTAATCTGATAGCATTACCTGTTCACAGACAAGCTATCACAGGGCTTAAATAACTAGGCTACCAATATTGCCTACCTTGCACTCCCAAAAATCCAACATGCCATATACATCACCATATTTATGTCACTTTCAAATAATATAAATCTAATGTGGTTTTAAATATGTATGTGAATAAAGATGAAAAAAAAAACACACAAAAAAGAAAACCCATGAAATCAAATGATCCCCTATAAAGTGGAACTATAAGTCTGGAGTTCTTCACGTCCATTCCCTTCCATACTGGAAGAGCTTCCCTACAATCAGATCAAAGCAATATCTAATCAGGTTTAGATTCCCATTCATCCTGACTAAGCTTTGTATTTTCTGCTAATGCAGTAGTATCCTTGTTTCAATTTCCCCGTAAGGTTTCAGGTTTCTGATAAGTGCCGAGGAAATTTTAGTTCTGAATAAACCTGAAGTTCTGATTTATTATATTGCCATCTCTTTCCTCAGTCTTATCTGTGCCGATCACAATCAACCAAATACAAATGAGTCACATATCTTTCCTCAGAAAGCCTTGCCATTGTACCACACTGAAACTGTCCATGAATCAGCAGTGTCTGTGTGTACCATACCAATTCATCAACGGCACAAGGACGTACCCTACACAGACCACAATTCTTTAACATCATCCAATACTGACACAAACATGACTGTTGAACAGCACATCTACTGGCTTAACCACCCATTGCATTTCTTACACACAAACAAATTAACTGTGTCAGGAATATATTTTTGTGAAATACATTTATCCACATAATGTTGATGCCAAGATTTGAGGGACTGCTATTACTTGACATGAACACAAACTAGAAACTATCTCCAGCATAACCTTTGTCACGGATACTGGGATCTATTTTCACTCACACAACCATTTCAATCTTCTTTGAGTACAGTGCAAGTATTATTTGACTATTTGTTCTGCCTACATGATGTTAGTCATGTGGGATAAGGTATATTTTCCTGTATCTCATGCATCGATGCTGTGTATAAGGAAGCAGGTCATGTCGCTGAAGGAATCTGGCATGTACACCAAGTACCACCTAGTGAGTCGCATCAACACCAATACCGGGAAACTCACAGCTTGTCTGTAGGAAAGATGTTCAAAGGATAAAACATTTTTGACAGAGCCAGAGAGAAAGTCTTCCTTGTTAAAACCAGGAAAAGATACTGGAAACTGAGAATATGTAACTTGTCTTGTTCTTCACGCTGCTTTCATAGGCAGGGAGCAAAGCAAAGCCATATCGCACCTCAATGTATGGGTTAAAGCCGGTAATGGAGGTGAGAGGGTTAAACAGTGAGGAGGCGACATCCAGAAATACACCCATATACATGAGGTTGAACTACTAGGACGCCTACACATGAATGTTCCACCCCAATCTGCACTATTCAAGTTCAACTTATAGAGCATGTTAATGTGTATATTCATGAAGAATATAGAATACTATATCTAAAATAACAATGATCAAGGTTTATTCATTCTCTCATTATGTTTTAGCAGATATGGTTGATGACAAACATTGGTAGATATAAAGAAGACAGTTGACTAAATGGATATTGACTGCATTAACCTTTCTGTGAAATATTTCTGTACAAGTGTCAAGCATCTATACTAAATCCTTGCATTGAAAGAATAAAGAAGTACAAAACAGCATCACTGTTAAAACTGTTTCTACAGAGCTACAACAATATTAAACTAAACAATATTAACAGTGTCACCCTCTTTATAGTTGTAAAATATCGCATGTAATGCATGTCATATACAATCATATTCCCAGTGACTTAACTGAAAAACTAACATGAAGCTACATCAACCAACTATCTACTGAAGTGTGTACAGTGACACCACGTTCCACGAACACCATCCCTAATGCCATAACAGATTTTGGAATGCTGTATAAGCAGCAACTCTATCTCAGAGGTCCACCATACATATTTCTCCCTGACAACAAAAACTTTCTTCAGGAAACCACACATACACACACTAACTATTTCTTTAAACGTTCCTCTCCAAATCCAAGGCCCAAGACTTAAGAAAGTGACATTTCCTTAAAGTTCTACCAAAATACTTTAAGAAGTTTTAAAGTTTAAGAAGCAGTACTTACATGTTTTTTGGAAATGTCAGAGCCAGGTATTGTTCGCCAAGCTTAGCGTATGGCAGAGCCAGGCACCTGTTCTATGCCTCACACAGGGAATCAGACTGCTGCCTTAATCCTCTAGGACATGACAGAATTCAAAGTCTTTAAAGTCTATATATAAACCCTGAAGCATCCTCTTTGTAGTGGAGACATATATAGCATTCCCTCCTTATACCATGTCACAGGGCAGCATGGCCATCAAAACACTTTCATTATAGCACTGCCCTGGAGAGGTGGTTAAATTCACTTCCTTGTATTGCCATCCCATCTGAGTCTGAGCACTGTGAATGTCGTGCTTATTCCTTATTCCATGTCCTCTTTATAACCCTCAACTCTGTGTCCTCTTTATAAGGCACAATATCAGGAAAAGTGACACCGTCCATGAACTAAACAAACATCAACAACATCAACAAGTACAGACTCCTTATTTAGTAGTAGTATTCAAACAATAGGTACCATAAACATCATTAAGATTCAGTTTGGCACCTGGGGAATTAAGGTGAGGATTCCAGGTAAGTCAATAAAGGTAAAACAATAGAAAGCAATAGGGGCAGGACAATAGTTGAGGCCAGCTAAGCCGGTGTGATTATCTGCAATGGCTGCTGCCATCCCCACTATAGCATTACATAATCAACTACCCTGAGGCAGTGTTTCTCTGCCTGATGATTTACTGTTGTGGCTTAATGGGTGTAATGATGCTCCACTTCTCATTGAGATAAGAAACATACCAATACATTTAGCACATCTTCCAGAATGAGTCCACCCACCTTTGTCATTCATGCCAAGAATTAAATTGTTTTGACTTATTTCCACACTTTCATAATAAAGATAGATGTGTGTAACTTTCATAAATGAAACCACACCAAATTTATTTGTCAAACGTGAAGAGTTCATACAAATTTGTGTTTCTTAAAGGATTAATTCTGAACTTACACACACATTCCTTCCTTAAAAGTAGTATATGTTTCCGATCTGAAGTCATGTTTCTACAAGAAATGGGAAACTATCCCTCTCCATCCAGCTTCTACAGCATCTTAATCCAAGACGAGAAGAGTAAAGCTCTATTGTTCAATGACATCAAAGTATAAATTAATTTAGTTTCTAGCCAGGTAAAACAATCATGAGAGCGGGGTATCATATGGCGGCTGCCACTCAGTGAATACCTCCACAACCCTTGTAACAATAGAACAATGCAGTATGCTAAACAGCAAGTGCCTAATCTGGCGTCCCACACAGGCCCATGAGTAAAGTTCAGTGGTTCTCCCTGTGACAGGCTGGGATGACCTGGGGAGCCAAAGTCTGCAGAACCAGATCGGAGCCCTACGTGAGCAGAAATACAGGCAGAGGATCATGTTCATGTTGAACACTGTCACATGTAACATTACCATCAATTGTTCCAATTGTTCTGCTCTATCCTAGGTGCTGCTTTAAAAACAGGGAAATGTATTCACTGCCCTCCTAAATAGCTGGTATTTTCACATCCACAATCTGGGATGGAATTTCAACTGCAAGGTTTCCAGAGGCTGAAACACTCCTGTTTCAAAATAACATTTTACATCTCTAAAACTGGGAACAGTAATTCAATGACATGGTGTGTCCTTGAAGCTTACACAAGTTCTTATTCACCTTTATAAATTGTCTTTTAAACTGAACAGTCTGTCAAATACACATCAACATCATCACACTAAGTGACCTGTCATTTATCATGGGAGACTGGTCACTGGGCTATCATGTATGTTGCAGACACCCCTATTTATATTTATAAGTCTTTCAACTAGTAGAACAAAATAAATACATGTAACATGCATAACAGATCCATATCTGTTCAATTTGAAAAACATTTTGGGGCATTTTTGTATGTTTTGCCCCACTTGTGACAAACTTTGATGACTCATTTTGCTGATATTTTTTTCATGTTTTTTCTCAAATTTCTTGACTTAGTTTTGATGAGGTGATGAGGAAAAACCAATATTGAGCCTACACATGCTCTATCAGCCAATATACGCTACCTGAAGGCCAGTCTTAAGATATTTATGTTTATTCAATTGATCGCCTCAGTCAGGACAGAAGTGTATTTGATTGTCTAATCTCAAGTGTCCCTATCTTGTTTATCTCTCTAGACATTTGCTGTAATCATTATATGCACTGATGTAGACAAAACATGTTCCCCTGTGTTTTAGTTCAATATCAGTGCCTATTCTATGCAAGTCCAGGATATAGGATACTGCATCCTTTACGTATACTGATTGGGAACATAAACAGGTAATTTACATTCTGATG